TTATGGTGGAAAGGAGCCCACTTTGGAATATTGACATTTACTTGTGTTTCACCTCGTAAATGAAGTGTGCAAAAGTAGCATTAGGGGAAGAGGGACAAGTGCACACACCCCCACACACACAACCGTACACACTCTGTGAAGTGCTTTCACCCTCCATGCAGCCATTAGAGCCCGTCCTCTCCTCACTCCCCCTCAGCTCTGCACCATGGGAGTGAGGGCTGAGTGAACTCCATTTTCCGCCCCATCTGCTGAAGGAGTGTCACGCAAACGCCTAAAAAGTGTCTCACACTGTTGGAAAATACTGAATGTCCTCTTCCAATATCAGAGTCCACATGATAACAAAGGTATCCCAACTGTAGCTGTGTACATGACAGGATGTATGATTACCTAGAAGAGCATCAGGACTGTTTGAGGCATATGATAGCTATGTGATTAACATGATGATTCAGCCTCTATGGAGATAGACATATGACAAGCATGCTCATTTCTGACGTGGAGCTAATCTGAAGTAAACATTGAATACTGCTTTCTATTCCTCCATCTTGTGACTGTGTAACTCCCTCTCTTGGATATCAGCATGTGAAGGACACTGTTCAGGAACTAGTTGATGCTCTGTATGTGATGACTACTTCCATTCTGGAGAGGATCACAAATACATGGATCCTGAGATTGAAGCTCAAGCCGGGGACGAGTGATATTTTTCTTACACACACTGTGCAAGGAGCAGCAAACATCAGCTTATAAGACACTTTTTTCACTCGCTTCTCACTTCTTGGCAGTCCTCCAAGTGCCACACACATGGGTAAACACACACACACACACACACACACACACATACACACACACACACACACACACACACACACACACACACACACACACACACACACACACACACACACACACACACACACACACACATACACACACACACACACACACACACACACACATACACACACACACACACACACACACACACACACACACACACAAATACACTTACAGGAGCTGACAAGTGTCTGCTTCATCACTGGTTCTCATGGCAACACGGTCAGTGGTGTGTATGCTCTGGCTTCGTTGAATGCACAAAACTATTGCAGGATTTCTAGCAGGTTTAAACTGCATGTTTTTTTTTTAAATGGTAAGACCTTTTTAGGAAAGTTTAGACTTTAATACCTGTGTGTATTTAACAGCTACACTGGCAGCAATATTAAGGGCATTTTTGACAGGAACATAAGTCCCAGAATTACTCCAAAACAGCAAAATAAGTCTAAATCTATTTTAATCTAATATCAAAAAGCTGAGTTGCATGATCGCAGTATGGACAGAGTTCCATGGATTTCATCGTATATATTTTGCCTGGAGATTATAGTTTACACAACACTAGGGCATTGGTTTTAGGGATTATTAAAGTGTGTGTTACCTTTGTGAATGCATTTATGTTTAAACAACATACAGGAGAATCATTTTGCCTGTATTTACTAAATAAACATCAAAACAAAGTTTGGTTTTTTTAATGTCATGTTAAAACACGAAGGACCTTGTCTGAACTGTTACTATATACTACATTATTTTTTTTATATCATTGTATTCTGTAGATTTAAGATATCCTTTCATTGGAAATAATGACTAACCCCAAACCATGAAAACTGAAAAAAAAGTTGTATTTATTCTGTTTTTGTAATGGGTACTACATTTAACTCAACAAATATCCAAGTGTTGTACAGATAGCTTAAAGAATTCAGAACCACGGTCAGCGACACACACTCAATGTAACGAACCCTCGTGACCACTAGAGGGGGGTGTAACACATAGACAACGAACATTTAAAACGTTTTTTTAACCCTAGTGTTGTGGTCAAAAGCTGTTACCGTTCACGGTGTTCGCGGGTCAATTTTGACCCATGATTTATCTCAGTCCAAAACACTCAAAAGTAATGACTATCATCCAATATTGTTTTAACTACATCATAACTAACTTATCATGCATTCATAACCGTACAATCCTGTTGTAATTGTATGGCCCCAAAAAACATATTTAAAGTGGACCTATCATGCTATATTTAAATGATATATTGTAGGGCCATACCTATATAAGGCATATTTATACGTTTCTGTTTTCAAAATACCAAACAGATCATGCATTTTAGCCATGCCTCATTTCGCTCTATGTGCTGTTTGCTGTCTACGGGTCTGATTCTGCTGACCACGCCCCCCTGCAGGAGAGGGGAGCCGTGCTCTGATCAGCTGCTGGGCTGTCAGAAGAGGGGGAGAAAAAGAGATCTCCGTCCTCCGTGTTTTATTATATAGAGTCGTTATTCATTTGTTTTAAAGCTCAATAAATAACAAAGAAGACCTTTGACCGGCACTTTTCTCATTTTGTCTGGAAGATTTAAACTTTAACGGACATCTTGACCGGCGACAGAAACTGAAACTGAAACTCTGCCGCACGGTCCCCTCGTTCCTTGGAAGAGGCGGAGAGGTGGGTGTTTGTCATCTGCTGGTGGACTAACCGGAGAGAGTTACAGTGCTTGCCTCGACGGGGAGGGATTGCATTGAATTAAAGCAGCGGGAACAAACGCTTGCCTCGGGGAGGGAGAAAGAAAGCCACAGCGGAGAATAAACAGAAGGGTAACCATGGTAACTATGGGCGGGAAGTCTTCTTCGCTGCTTTTGTGGCAGACTACAGCGCCACTTACAGGCCTGGCATATGTACTACAGCGTCTCCAGCGCTTTCGAGCGGCAATGGCCGGCCGTGGCCCAACCCCACATTCGCCTGATAGGTGGAGAGTTGGCCCAATAGCCGTAGCGCCACTTCTGTGACGACATAGAAGTGTTCAAATCTGGATCAGTTTTTATCAGATCCGTTGCAGCTCCTTTTTTAGAGATTTGGGAATGGAGGAAAATAGAGAGGGTTGTGTTTTCTGACACTTGGTGAGTTCCCTGGAACACCGGGGACACATATTCATGTAGAAAAGACGTACAAAATTTGACCTCGAGTCACCCACAACATGCTGCTGGGTCTTCCCAGACCCGAACACCAAATTATACACTTTTTTTTTTTTAGAGACTTTCAGACTTGGCTTAAATTGTCAAAATCCGTTTTGTAGAGTTTTTACAGCTGTTGTGGAGGATATCATGAAGCCTGGTTCCCATACAAAAAACTAGAGCGTAGTTATTATATCATTTTAACTTGAAACGGGTCACGGGAGACCCCAACACAACATAAGGGTTAAAGCATGTTAATTTAACTTCTAAAGAAGAAATAAGATTACAAATTAGTTTTGTGTTGAAAAAAATAGATACTGTGAGAATTTCTCTTCACTAATTACTTGGCATTTAAACATAATAATGTACACAAAATAATAAAAACTTCCTCTTAACAATTCCTTATTGTTCTTTAAAAACTACTATATAAATCTTAATATGAAACTGTCAAAAGTAATGGAAAGTATCGCAACATAATTAAAACATATATATATATATATATACACATTCTCAAGATTGATAGTAAGTCTTTATTTAAAGAGTTGAACATGTTCTTGATATACATGTCGTTCTTTCCGGAAGGTTTTCCATTGTTGTGATTTACAGCCTCTTATTTTGCAGCACATACATTAGTGTAATAGATGAATACATGGAGTGCGCCACCATGTGCATTAAACAGTGGCGGTTACACAGAGGAAGACACGTGATAATACAAACACTTGTGCTTTACACGATATATTTCAATGCTCAGAAAGAAATTGCATAGATGTGATAAACAGTGTATTCTCCCAGAAATCAAGATAAGTTCAAGGCATTGAAATAATTATATATTGTGGTGATATATATTGCAAAAAATCACTTTACTCTATGGGTAAAAGTCACCACTTTCACACCGTTTTAAGGCCACTGGAAAGCTCACTTTAAGATGCATTTTAACCTTATTCATGGAGAGAATGGGTGTTTCTCAATGTTGAGTAAAGCTGCTCCAGAGCCACTACTTCAAGCATACTACGTCATCGAGTGCCGCCGAAGGACTGTTCCAATCTCCAGCATACTTGGAAATCTACCGAGCCCGGCGTACTCCGTTTGGAGAAATATCGAGGCTGCACATGAGTAGACTCCGCGGTCTTAAAATCCCCACAATGCTTTGCGCACGGACCAATTTCCCCAAATCTGTGGCGGAAGATGTAAGAGGCGGGGCCTCTCATATGACGCACACTTGCTCGCCTGTTCCACTCTTCGTTTTCCGAATGCCAGGAAGAAGTATTCTTGCCTCGCTTCTGAAGCAAGTGACTCGGAAGACATGTGCTACCAAGCAAGCGTACTCTACATTGAGAAACACCCAATATATAGGCAGAGACATTTAGATAACGGTAGTGGAAATGATATAAAACCAGATAAAGTGAGCTGCATTCATTAATGGTCAAAAGTCGATGTTCTTCCAATAATGTCGTATTTTAGATGCCACTGTGTTCATTTTAAGTGACATGCTGTAGCTAGGATATAGGCAGCTGATCTTAGTTTAAAACTCAGACGTTATGATGGCAACAATCTTCTCTATATCCAAAGATAACACATAACGGCTACTAACACTTTATTTGATCAAATAAGATGCCCTTGTTAAAAAGATATGGTTGAGTGTTTTGCTCGAGTGCAGCCAGAGGGTGTTTCTCAATGTTGAGGACGCTTCCTTGGTAGGCCATGTCCCTCCGAGTCAGGTCTTTCAGAGGCTAGGCAAGAACCCTTCCTTTCATTCGGAGAACGAAGAATGGAACAGGCTAGCAAGTGTGCGTCATATGAGAGGCCCCGCCTTATATTACATTTTCCACCAAAGATTTGGGAAATTGGTCCGTGCGCAAAGCATTGTGGGGATTTTAAGACCGCGGAGGATACACTGGTGCATCCCTCGAAATTTCCCGCAACGAAGGACTCAGTCCTCGGTAGAATTCCAAGGATCCTGGACATTGGAACAGTCCTACGGCGGGATTCAATGACGTAGCATCCTTGAAATAGTGGCTCTGGAGGAGCCTTCCTCGACATTGAGAAACACCCAGTGAACAAGTTCAAGTTTGATGAATATTTAAATAAAAGCTTTGCCTGAGGTAGTGAATGCATCTGATGTGATTGATAAGCCTTGAGGGAACACAGAAGGTTTTGACCATACAAGTCAAAATAGATGTCTACAAAGTGCCTGAAAGCCTTTTGGCCTGCTGCACTGTTTCCTTGTCATAACACTTACAAATATTGTGCCTGTGATTAGTGTTAGAGTGAAACACACAGATTTGTGAGCAGCAAAGCATACATTTGGCCACATTTTAAAGTGATAAGAGGTCAAGTGATGTGTCCCCACTAAAGTGACAACTCTGTGGGAAAAAGCCCCTCAGTTTTTGGAGGTCACATGACAGGAAGTGGCCTGCTCCTCCATGCCAGCCTGCGTCATGAGCTCAGACACGTCGCTCTCAAGGTCGTCGATGCGCGTTCCCATCTCATCTAGTGCGCAAGTGAAGGAACAATCTGCCAGGGAACCAGAGAGCAACAACTCCATATAGAAACCATTTCACATTCAAATGATATTAAGCATTTACAGCCATGTCTTCTTTGACAAATTGGTGCACACAATCTTGTTTAATTTAGGAAGCTTTTCATTTTAGAGTGCTAACCCTCCTCCTGGCAAAAGGCTAAGCTGCTTAATCACATCTAGAAAATATAGGTTTATTTGATATATAATTGAGCGTTTGTTGTATCTTTGTTAATTGTGTTATTTTATAAGGACTATAAATTATTTGGGTGAATAAAACGTACCTGCGCTCCCAGTGTCTTCTGTTCCCTGTTCCTTCACAATGGCACACATTAAAAACATATAAGACTCTTTAACTGTTTTTGAGAAGGCTCCTACTCGCAGGTGTATTGTAAACATCTTGATTAAAAGGTCATCAGGGGAACGGGACGGGGCTGCAATGGTTAACATCTCAAAAGTCTTACTCTTACTGAAAGCCGAGTTTCACAAATATATTTTACCGTAGCAAAAGCAAGTAAGAGACATCTACACAGAGGTGGGGAAAGTACTCAGATCTTGTACTTGAGTCAAAGTAGAAGTACTCAGGTCTTGTACTTGAGTCAAAGTACTCAGATCTTGTACTTGAGTCAAAGTACTCAGATCTTGTACTTGAGTCAAAGTACTCAGATCTTGTACTTGAGTAAAAGTAGAAGTACTCAGATCTTGTACTTGAGTAAAAGTAGAAGTACTCAGATCTTGTACTTGAGTAAAAGTAGAAGTACTCAGGTCTTGTACTTGAGTAAAAGTAGAATTACTCAGATCTTGTACTTGAGTAAAAGTAGAATTACTCAGATCTTGTACTTGAGTAAAAGTAGAATTACTCAGATCTTGTACTTGAGTAAAAGTAGAAGTACTCAGATCTTGTACTTGAGTAAAAGTACTCAGATCTTGTACTTGAGTAAAAGTAGAAGTACCAGAGTGTAGGAATACTCAGTTACAGTAAAAGTCCTTCATTCAAAATGTTCCTCAAGTGAAAGTAGAAAAGTCTTCTCATCAAAATATAGTGAAAGTAGCGACAGTGAAAGTAGTCATTGTGCAGATTGGTCCATTTCAGAATAATATATATGATATGTTTTATAATGATTGATCATGAAAGTGTTCTCAAAGCTGGTAAAGGTGCAGCTAGTTTGAATGACTTTGTATACTGCAGGGTAGCTTGTGGATTTACTCCAGGTGGAACTAAAGTCTGATTTAACACTTGATTATATTTCACATCATTCATCCACATCTGTGAAGTAACTAAAGGTATTAAATACATGTAGTGGAGGAAAAGTACACCATGTACCTCTGAATTGGAGTGGGGTAGAAGTACAAAGTAAAAAGTAAAGTACAAGTACCTCAAAATTGTACTTAAGTACAGTACTTGAGTAAATGTACTTAGGTACTTTACACCACTGTATCTACGTATGAATCCATAATCATTTTTGGGCAAGAGGACCAGATTTTGGATGGTCATTTGAACACATTTGCAATTTTTTATTATGACGAGTGAAAATGTCAGCCATGCTCAGGAAAATGACTTTGAGAACAAATGTGTTTTTATCTTTTATGCTTACTGTTTTTGTTTTTGCATTTGACAAATGTGTCTTAAATAGAAAAATATGCATAAGTATTCAATTGGATTTGAGGTTTTTGTTTTAGACTGAGTTTGAACGCCCCCCAGTGGCCATGCATGTTAACACAGCTGTGTGTTTGACAGGAGGACACGTCTTTGATTAGTAATTACTCTCAGGTGCGTTTTAGCTAAATGCAGGACTCGCTTAATTCATTATAAGCTATAACAATAAGTAAATGCTGCGACAATTATTGAGCAAACCGGAAACGCCAAAAAGTGAAGCAGGCAGTGAAGTTACCAGCTGTTTACAGTAGGAACATGGTATAAAACAAGGATATTTTTGGACTCCAGCTGCTCAGAAATTCCCTTGAATCGTCCCTGAAGTCTTTGCATTGTTTCCTCCATCTATAGGAAAAGAAATAAGGCATTTCAAGTATTACAATGTTAGTTTTTGTGCACATACCTTTATCAATGTCAGACAAACTCACCGCTTCTGTCAACTCTTTAGCTGAATTGCTCTCTGTTTTCGACATCGTTTCTTAAACAACAGTTTTAGTATATCGGCTGAAACCTAATCTTGGCCGCAACAACCTGAGTATGAATGTTTTCTTGCTGTTTTTTCTTCCCCTCGAAAACGTTAGCAATGACTCCCATAACTTGAGTCGAAAGACTGAAAACAACGTGACTTCCGCCTGCAGTTTTTTAAAATGTCAAAATAAAAGTCCCTAGATGAAAGCATCTGAAAAAGGGAATCGTAAAATTTGAAGTGTCTTGCATGCTGACGTAATTAAAAACTATAACCACCAATACCTTCCCCCAAACATATTTTAAATTATATACGGATAGGAAAATGTATCAACTCATAACCCAGGTATGTTGATTTTTGTCAAAGGAGAGATTAGTTTCTACAATAAATGTGCAATTTCTCCGTTACCTTCAAAATAAAAGACAAAAGCCTATAACCGAACATGCCAAATGTTTAAAGCAGGTCATGATACAATTTGCGGAGGGATTAAAATGCAAATAATCAGCATTTTCTTCTGAACGGTTACTTACATACTGTTGTAAGTTTGATGTTGATTTAGAGAATTATATGAAAACCAAGAAAAATCCCAGCTTTATAGACAATGTTTTAGATTACAATTGTACATGTGAAAATGAGGCACTTTGGATTTGCAATTTACATATCGGGGACAGAGATATTGATAGAGCCCAGAAGCCCAGAATGTTTTTTCTGTAGCCCCGGACAATTCTCCCTGAAATATAATACATTAACCGTGCTTTACCTGAACCTCATCATGACACTAGAGAGGACGGCAGGATTGTAATTTCCCGTGTTCAGTGAATGCAATTATTATGTAAAAGATTATTCCAAGGCACACCTTCATATGACCATTATAGTTATAAAACAAAGAGAATAAATGAAAAACAGTTATGAAATACTATATGACAGTAAAACAAGAATAGGCCTACAGTTTAAAAGGGGAGTGATTAGTAAAATATCCATATAGAAAATCTGTTTACAGTTCTGTTCTGGAGCATGCCCCCGGACCCCCCTAGAGGATGTTAGGTCCACTCCCCACTTGTAAAAATATAGCACTTTACCCCTGCTTACACCTATATGCCCTGAGCTGATTATCGAGCCTTCATTGTAACAGTCGCGGGTGTGGGGAGTGTTGCAGTTGAAAACTCCACTGTACCGGTACCTTAATGGGAAACCCTAAATGTTTGAGCACCCTCTATGAAACGTCAAGCTACCCCACAGCACACCCAAAAGAAAATCTCTGGCGCCGCCACTGTGGGCTAAGCCCTGAATGTTTCCAGGTCCAGGAAACGCCCCTGGTTTACAACACTAGTTTCATGTTGAACGAAGCAAGGTTTTTATATCTTTACATTAAAAGTTTCATCAGACTACCATGTTAAATATGAGGCAATATATTATAAACATGTAATCCAATATGCCCAAAGACAGACTACAGTAGTATGTACACGTTGCATTCAAGTTGAGGAATTTTCAAAGTTTCAAGTGCAGACATTGGGATAAGGAATCACATGTTTTAAAGGTGGGGTAGGTAAGTTTGAGAAACCGGCTCTAGATACACTTTGTTATATTCCATGGAATGCTCTTAACATCCCGATAGCAATGAATATCTGAAGAGCTTTGACAAAAAATCCATAAAAAAAAAATGTCATCTGTGGAAGCCGTAGTAGGCCTACTGTAAAAAGCACGACCAATCATCTGAGCCGGCCCAGCTAAAATAACTGGATGGCCTACCTGCCTGTCAGCCTTCCATCTGTGCACAAACTTATCTCGTGCGCGTTCGTGTGTGTTGGAGGGGCAGATTTTTTCAAATTCTAGCGCACTCTAGCTGGTTTCTCCTAAATTACCTACCCCGCCTTTAAGTTTAGTGCTCAATGTCTATCAATTGACTTGTACATTTAGTGGGAGCCCCTTAAATTGATAAGATATGTTACCACTTGAGCTTAAACCTAAGAGTCGCATTAAGAAGAGCTCCACTAGTAAAGGTCAAAGTAAAAAGTCCAACTCAAAAGCAGACACTGCATCCTTTTAAGAACCAGTGTGCCACATCAACAAATATCTCACTTTTGTAAATTTGCAATAGTTTAAACTAGAACTATTGAGACATTTGTTTTTGCAAAGGGGATTTTCACAATCTTTTGTCAGCGCTGTAAAGTATTAAGATTTGTTTTGTAAAGGAAACATTTTTCCAACACACCTTTTAGACACTAGAGGGCACCAAGCTTACATCCACAAGCACTCATGCTTAAGCATTCACCATCTCACAATACAAGGTGAAGTAAAGACACAACCAAGTGGTAAATTAATGTATTTATTTCATTTAAATATCATAAAATATTCATCCGAGGACACCAGCTGCACCTGTAAGAACAAACAAACATTAGTCACCAGGTTTAAGTTAATGTATAGAACAGCAAGAAAGCGAGCAGTACTCACCTGCTATTGTCCCCACTTTGGCTTGAACTGCAACCATTTGACCTGAGGAGAGATGTAGGCCTGGGGTTCAGCCTGCCTCTGAGGGGCCACGTAGGTCCTGTTGGGAGCCTCGTAGGACTGGTTCGTTGCTTGCCGCTGAGGGGCTACGTAGACCTTCTTGGGAGTCTTGTGGGCCTTGTTGGGAGTCTTGTGGGCCTTGTTGGGAGTCTCGTGGGCCTTGTTGGGAGTCTCGTAGGACTGGTTCGTTGCTTGCCGCTGAGGGGCTACGTAGACCTTCTTGGGAGTCTCGTAGGCCTTGTTGGGAGTCTCGTAGGACTGGTTCGTTGCTTGCCGCTGAGGGGCTACGTAGGTCCTGTTGGGAGCCTCGTAGGACTGGTTCGTTGCTTGCCGCTGAGGGGCTACGTAGGTCCTGTTGGGAGCCTCGTAGGACTGGTTCGTTGCTTGCCGCTGAGGGGCTACGTAGGTCCTGTTGGGAGTCTTGTGGGCCTTGTTGGGAGTCTCGTAGGCAGTCTTGTGGGCCTTGTTGGGAGTCTCGTAGGCAGTCTTGTGGGCCTTGTTGGGAGTCTCGTAGGCAGTCTCGTGGGCCTTGTTGGGAGTCTCGTAGGCCCTGTTGGGAGTCTGCTGCTGGAGAGCATTGTAGGCCTTGTTGGGAGCCTCGTAGGCCTTGTTGGGAGCCTGCTGCTGGAGAGCCACGTAGGCCCTGTTGGGAGTCTCGTAGGCCTTGTTGGGAGTCTGCTGCTGGGGAGCCTCGTAGGCCTTGTTGGGAGTCTGCTGCTGGGGAGCCTCGTAGGCCTTGTTGGGAGTCTGCTGCTGGGGAGCATTGTAGGCCTTGTTGGGAGCCACGTAGGTCCTGTTGGGAGCCTCGTAGGCCCTGTTGGGAGCCTCGTAGGCCCTGATGGGAGTCTGCTGCTGGGGAGCATTGTAGGCCTTGTTGGGAGCCACGTAGGTCCTGTTGGGAGTCTTGTAGGCCATGTTGAGAGTCTGCTGCTGGAGAGCCACGTAGGCCCTGTTGGGAGCCTCGTAGGCCCTGTTGGGAGTCTTGTAGGCCCTGATGAGAGTCTGCTGCTGGGGAGCATTGTAGGCCTTGTTGGGAGCCACGTAGGTCCTGTTGGGAGTCTTGTAGGCCATGTTGAGAGTCTGCTGCTGGAGAGCCACGTAGGCCCTGTTGGGAGCCTCGTAGGCCTTGTTGAGAGTCTGCTGCTGGGGAGCCACGTAGGCCCTGTTGGTAGTCTTGTAGGCCATGTTGAGAGTCTGCTGCTGGAGAGCCACGTAGGCCCTGTTGGGAGCCTCGTAGGCCTTGTTGAGAGTCTGCTGCTGGGGAGCCACGTAGGCCCTGTTGGGAGTCTGCTGCTGGGGAGCATTGTAGGGAGCCTCGTAGGCCCTGCTGGGAGCCCTGTTGGGAGTCTCGTAGGCCCTGCTGGGAGCCCTGTTGGGAGTCTCGTAGGCCCTGCTGGGAGCCCTGTTGGGAGCCCTGTTGGGAGTCTCGTAGGCCCTGCTGGGAGCCCTGTTGGGAGCCACGTTGGGAGTCTCGTAGGCCCTGTTGGGAGCCACGTTGGGAGTCTCGTAGGCCCTGTTGGGAGCCACGTTGGGAGTCTTGTAGGCCCTGTTGGGAGTCTGCTGCTGTGGAGCCACGTAGGCCCTGTTGGGAGTCTGCTGCTGGGGAGCATTGTAGGCCTTGTTGGGAGCGCTGTTGGGAGTCTCGTAGGCCCTATTGGGAGCCACGTTGAGAGTCTCGTAGGCCCTATTGGGAGCCACGTTGAGAGTCTTGTAGGCCCTATTGGGAGCCACGTTGAGAGTCTTGTAGGCCCTATTGGGAGCCACGTTGGGAGTCTTGTAGGCCCTGTTGGGAGTCTGCTGCTGGGGAGCCACGTAGGCCCTGTTGGGAGTCTGCTGCTGGGGAGCATTGTAGGCCTTGTTGGGAGCCACGTAGGCCTGGTTCGTTGCTTGCCGCTGAGGGGCCACGTAGGCCTTGATGGGAGTCTGGTAGGCCTGGTTCGTTGCTAGCCGCTGAGGGGCCACGTAGGCCTTGATGGGAGTCTGGTAGGCCTGGTTCGTTGCTTGCCGCTGAGGGGCCACGTAGGCCTGGTTCGTTGCTTGCTGCTGAGGGGCCACGTAGGCCTTGATGGGAGTCTGGTAGGCCTGCTGGGGCTTTCTGACACTCACTTTCTCCTGCCCAGGAGCCTTCAGCCGTCTGATATCATAGCCACCAAATTGATCAGGGATGATGTGGGTCTTGGTCGGGGCAAACTTCTTACCAGAGGTTCCCTCTCTGGACGATTTGGAGTCGTAGCTCGTTGAGTAACTGCGAGGCTTGAAGACGGGACCATTTCCTACATTGGACTCAAGAGAAGTGCCATAACTTGAGGCCATGGAAGTAGCCTTGTAGCTTCCTCGGGCATTCCCTGAAAACACTTTACTCTTGTATGGGGTCACAACCTCAGTCTGGCTGGGGTTTTTAGGAGCTGAGGGACGGGAAGGTTTATCCGTTTTAGACACTAGCTTAGCACGAACACTGGAGGAAGTTTTGGTCCGTGAAGGGATTTGGTTTGGCTCAGGAGCGCCGGCACCAAACAGGCTGGAAGACTTCCCTGTGTCCATGTTGCTAATCTTACTCAGAGAATCGCTACCGACAATATCACTAGAAAGGCCATGAAAACGCTGTTTAGGCACACGATTCAAGTTAGGTTTTGACACTGAGCTGCCCTGCACTAACCTGACTTTAGCAAAGCCACTTTTAGCTGGCTGTGAAACAGTTTGTGTGTAGCTACCAGTAGAAGGCCCCCGGCTAAAACTACTGCCCACAGCTGAAGGTATGTTTAAGTTTGTACTCTGCGCTGAGCTCGGAGGGGCTTGTCTGAGTCGATTCTGGAGATAGTTGCTGGGACCGGCTTCCCGATTATTTTGCCTGAAGCCAACATACGTGTTGTTGTTCTGGCTCTGAGCTGCGAGAGAAAAAGAAAAATATTAAGCCACAGCTAGTCATTCACAGCACTTAAGTGAAATGTTGTGCTTTGCTCACCTTGTGAAGCCCACAAACAACGCACATGCTCTGCTTGAACCCAGACAATAAGGAAAATCCTGCACAGAAAAGATGTAAACATCAGAGAACGCAGACAGCTAACAACAATTCACTTTGCATATCTGCAGAAACTTACCCCAAATGAACTCCACAAGTCATATTTCTCTCTCTGTTCCAACACAGCAGTAAATAACCAGTAGCCCTGAAGTGACTTGCTCTGCTTGTCTGAGCAGCAGAAAGGAGGCTTTATTGCAGCTTGCAGCCAATCAGGGCCTAATGAGCTGATTGTCTACAGGTGCTGCTGTGCTGTCAGGGTGGCAACTGAGTGCTGTTGATTTTCTGATTTTCTGAAGTACTCAGATCTGGTAGTTGAGTAAAAGTAGAAGTACTCAGGTCTTGTACTTGAGTAAAAGTAGAAGTACTCAGATCTTGTACTTGAGTAAAAGTAGAAGTACTCAGATCTTGTACTTGAGTAAAAGTAGAAGTACTCAGATCTTGTACTTGAGTCAAAGTAGAAGTACCAGAGTGTAGGAATACTCAGTTACAGTAAAAGTCCTGCATTCAAAATGTTCCTCAAGTGAAAGTAGAAAAGTATTCTCATCAAAATATAGTGAAAGTAGTGACAGTAAAAGTAGTCATTGTGCAGATTGGTCCATTTCAGAATAATATATATGATATGTTTTATAATGATTGATCATGAAAGTGTTCTCAAAGCTGGTAAAGGTGCAGCTAGTTTGAATGACTTTGTATACTGCAGGGTAGCTTGTGGATTTACTCCAGGGGGGTACACTACGAATCTAGTTCAACATATCCTGGATATGTTTTGAGTTATCCGGTTGACTAAATCCAAAAAAAAAACGCTCTCGCTAAACGGTCCTACGACGCTGGCTATCAACTCGATCGCTCAAGCCAGCCGTGTCCTATCTAGTTAGGTGTGCGTTCACATGAAAGGGGTGGTATTTGGAGTGTTCGACAAATCACAAACATGGACAAGCCGTGTACTGACAGCGCAGCGTCATACTTCCTGAATGAAAAGTCAACTAATATTAGAGAAATATGAAGACGTTAAACTTTAAACATCCATGACTTAAACACTTTATCCAGGATCAAAGCCACATAGCTGCACCTGCAAGGTGAATACAGCTGGTAACAGAGAAAGTGTTTGAATACGTAAATTAACAGGTTTATGATATCACTGCCCCGTCTAAGACACGAGTGGATCTGACTTTAATTACATTTGACTCGAGTGTTTCGTCAACTTAATGTGTTGCTTAAAATAATACTTCTGCGTACAGTATGTGACACTGTGAGTGTTGCAGGGCCAGATACGGCTCAGCTGACTCAGATAAGGAGATATATGATACATTATGATGTGATATGATATGAATGATAATGGGACACATCGACGTCTGCACTCACAGTGCCGCGGACTGTACTTAATGTTACTCTGATCCGGTTACTTTTGTCGTGGCAGATATTTAAGTAAGCTTTCTTAACGCTAATGTTATAATAGTCAGATTGCTCTGAAGATGGGAGGGGATATTCTATTCATTTTCACGCTCACACAGTCGGTGATTTTGGCCGGCCATCTTTCCTGCAACGGCAGTTTAAACTGTATTTCCTTTCTCCTCCTGTCATATGAATTGATCGCTTTAAACTCTGCACACTGAGCTCTGATTGGTCAGCAGGCAGTGCTTTTATCCTGGAACCTATCCTTCTCCGGAGGATGGCCGTTCAGAATAAGTTATCTAGCCCGCTAAGAAGTGAACCAGCTTCGTAGGACCGGAAACCCCTGAAGTTAGCTTGCTAAACGAAAATCATGCTTCGTAGTATAGGCCCCAGGTGGAACTAAAGTCTGATTTAACACTTGATTATATTTCACATCATTAATCCACATCTGTAAAGTAACTAAAGGTATTAAATAAATGTAGTGGAGTAAAAGTACACCATGTACCTCTGAATTGGAGTGGGGTAGAAGTACAAAGTAGCATAAAATGGAAATACTCAGGTAAAGTACAAGTACCTCAAAATTGTACTTAAGTACAGTACTTGAGTAAATGTACTTAGGTACTTTACACCAGGGGTTCCCAACCTTTATTGTGCCAAGGACCGGCAGATACATTAAAAAAAAATCGCGGACCGGTTGTCAATTTTAACTGATTTTAATATTTACTCACCACCAGCAGGTAGCAACAGAGGCTAATTGTATGTAACAGCCTGAACAAATACTAGAACAATATGCATCCAAAACATATTAACAAAGTTTAAAAAAGAACCGGTATCATTTTTTGGTTTTTCGGAAAACCAAAAAACCGACGTTATTCAGTTTTTAAACCAAAACGGGAAAACAGATAAATTAACGTTTTGGTTTTGTTTGTATGATTTACGGATAATCCAGTGAATGCTGGGAAAACGAGGAGAAGCCGCATTATGAACACTGGCATTTGTTTTCAGAAGATATTATGATAGTGTCGTTCGTTCCGGTGCACTCCGACAGCATTAGCACTACATCGAGATTAAGATTAAACTAATTTATTTTGGGAACAGCCGCATATATGGAGTTAGCCATATGTGTGTAAATTACTGTTCATAAACATTTGAAAACAAATGCCGGTGTCGGACAGACACAAACACACCGAACACACAGAGCTGAGCTGAGCAGAGCACATACACACACACATCATGCGCCTTGGTGACTGACTGGACATCTCCTTCATAAAACTAATAAAAGGGGGAGTAATCGGGCAGTTCGATGTGTGTAGATGTGTGTGTATAGGTGTGTGTGGTTAACACGTAGCAGCCTGCAGTCACTCTTAAGCTGTTCTGATGAAGTTAAACACAGTCATACTGGTGCTGCACTTCTCAGAAGCGGAGTATACGTCCCGCTGCCTCCGGATGCTGCAGCCGTTTTAAGAAGTGAAGGAGGGTTTCCTTCTATAAAGCAGCTGCGGGCAGCAGATCGTGAGAGTCCCGGACATTAATTCATAGATCAAGGCAGACTGGTTTACTCTTCTGTTTTGCCAATCCGGTGCTTAAACAAATAGCTCTACACCCCTGGCCGACATGTCCTTAAAATGAAGTCCGAGTTTGAAATATATCTCAAATAATGTATGCACCACCATTTCCCCACATAAACATAACAGTCTGCAATCAAACGGTTGTCTCCTGTGCGCTCCTCTTCCTACTTGGCGCACCGGTAACATGCTCGTGTGCACGAGCTACTGGATGAAATAATATGACTGGTGGCATAGGTGCGAAAATTAAACACTTTTTGAAAAAATATTATGATAAAATATTTTTATATATTTATAATTCTGCAAATATTACGATAAACTCACAGCTATTTCGCGGCCCGGCAGTAACACCTCTGCGGCCCGGTACCGGTCCGCGGACCGGGGGTTGGGAACCCCTGCTTTACACCACTGTATCTACGTATGAATCCATAATCATTTTTGGGCAAGAGGACCAGATTTTGGATGGTCATTTGAACACATTTGCAATTTTTAATTATGACGAGTGAAAATGTCAGCCATGCTCAGGAAAATGACTTCGAGAACAAATGTGTTTTTATCTTTTGCTTACCGTTTTTGTTTTTGCATTTGACAAATGTGTCTTAAATAGAAAAATATGCATAAGTATTAAATTGGAGGTTTTTGTTTTAGACTGAGTTTGAACGCCCCCCAGTGGCCATGCATGTTAACACAGCTGTGTGTTTGACAGGACACGTCTTTGATTAATTACTCTAAGGTGCGTTTTAGCTAAATGCAGGACTCTCTTAAGGTAGGGTAGGTAAGTTTGAGAAACCGGCTCGAGATACACTTGTTATATTCCATGGAATGCTCTTAACATCCCGATAGCAATGAATATCTGAAGTGCTTTGACAAAAAATCCATGAAAACATTATCTGTGGAAGCCGTAATACTGTAAAAAGCACGACCAATCATTTGAGCCGGCCCGGCTAAAATAACTGGATGGCCTACCTGCCTGTCAGCCTTCCATCTGTGCACAAACTTATCTCGTGCCCTCATTGGTCATGTGCGCGTTCGTGTGTGTTGGAGGAGGGGCTCTGTGAGGAAGTGGAAGATTTTTTCCGGTTGTGTATTTTCAAATTCTAGCGATCTCGAGCCGGTTTCTCCTAAATTACCTACCCCACCTTTAAGTTTAGTGCTCAATGTCTATCAATTGACTTGTACATTTAGTGGGAGCCCCTTAAATTGATAAGATATGTCACCACTTGAGCTAAAACCTAAGAATCGCATTATGAAGAGCTCCACTGGTAAAGGTCAAAGTAAAAAGTCCAACTGAAAAGCAGACACTGCATCCTTTTAAGAACCAGTGTGCCACATCAACAAATATCTCACTTTTGTAAATTTGCAATAGTTTAAACTAGAACTATTGAGACATTTGTTTTTGCAAAGGGGATTTTCACAATCTTTTGTCAGCGCTGTAAAGTATTAAGATACATTTTGCAAATTTGTTTTGTAAAGGAAACATTTTTCCAACACACCTTTTAGACACTAGAGGGCACCAAGCTTACATCCACAAGCACTCATGCTTAGGCATTCACCATCTCACAATACAAGGTGAAGTAAAGACACAACCAAGTGGTAAATTAATGTATTTATTTCATTTAAATATCATAAAATATTCATCCGAGGACACCAGCTGCACCTGTAAGAACAAACAAACATTAGTCACCAGGTTTAAGTTAATGTATAGAACAGCAAGAAAGCGAGCAGTACTCACCTGCTATTGTCCCCACTTTGGCTTGAACTGCAACCATTTGACCTGAGGAGAGATGTAGGCCTGGGGTTCAGCCTGCCTCCGAGGGGCCACGTAGGCCCTGTTGGGAGCCTCGTAGGACTGGTTCGTTGCTTGCCGCTGAGGGGCTACGTAGACCTTCTTGGGAGTCTTGTAGGCCCTGTTGGGAGTCTTGTGGGCCTTGTTGGGAGTCTCGTAGGCAGTCTTGTGGGCCTTGTTGGGAGTCTCGTAGGCAGTCTTGTGGGCCTTGTTGGGAGTCTCGTAGGCAGTCTTGTGGGCCTTGTTGGGAGTCTCGTAGGCAGTCTTGTGGGCCTTGTTGGGAGTCTTGCGGGCCTTGTTGGGAGTCTTGCAGGCCCTGTTGGTAGTCTTGTAGGCCCTGTTGGTAGTCTCGTAGGCCCTGTTGGTAGTCTCGTAGGCCTTGTTGGGAGCCTCGTAGGCCTTGTTGGGAGTCTGCTGCTGGGGAGCATTGTAGGCCTTGTTGGGAGCCACGTAGGCCTGGTTCGTTGCTTGCCGCTGAGGGGCCACGTAGGCCCTGTTGGTAGTCTCGTAGGCCCTGTTGAGAGTCTGCTGCTGGGGAGCCACGTAGGCCCTGTTGGTAGTCTCGTAGGCCCTGTTGAGAGTCTGCTGCTGGGGAGCATTGTAGGCCTTGTTGGGAGCCTCGTAGGCCTTGTTGGGAGCCACGTTGGGAGTCTCGTATGCCCTGTTGGGAGTCTGCTGCTGGGGAGCATTGTAGGCCTTGTTGGGAGCCACGTAGGCCTGGTTCGTTGCTTGCCGCTGAGGGGCCACGTAGGCCTTGATGGGAGTCTGGTAGGCCTGGTTCGTTGCTTGCTGCTGAGGGGCCACGTAGGCCTTGATGGGAGTCTGGTAGGCCTGCTGGGGCTTCCTCACACTCACTTTCTCCTGCCCAGGAGCCTTCAGCCGTCTGATATCATAGCCACCAAATTGATCAGGGATTATGTGGGTCTTGGTCGGGGCAAACTTCTTACCAGAGGTTCCCTCTCTGGACGATTTGGAGTCGTAGCTCGTTGAGTAACTGCGAGGCTTGAAGACGGGACCATTTCCTACATTGGACTCAAGAGAAGTGCCATAACTTGAGGCCATGGAAGTAGCCTTGTAGCTTCCTCGGGCATTCCCTGAAAACACTTTACTCTTGTATGGGGTCACAACCTCAGTCTGGCTGGGGTTTTTAGGAGCTGAGGGACGGGAAGGTTTATCCGTTTTAGACACTAGCTTAGCACGAACACTGGAGGAAGTTTTGGTCCGTGCAGGGATTTGGTTTGGCTCAGGAGCGCCGGCACCAAACAGGCTGGAAGACTTCCCTGTGTCCTTGTTCCTGCTCTTACTCAGAGAATCGCTACTGGCAATAGCACTAGAAAGGCCATGAAAACGCTGTTTAGGCACACGATTCAAGTTAGGTTTTGACACTGAGCTGCCCTGCACTAACCTGACTTTAGCAAAGCCACTTTTAGCTGGCTGTGAAACAGTTTGTGTGTAGCTACCAGTAGAAGGCCCCCGGCTAAAACTACTGCCCACAGCTGAAGGTATGTTTAAGTTTGTGCTCTGCGCTGAGCTCGGAGGGGCTTGTCTGAGTCGATTCTGGAGATAGTTGCTGGGACCGGCTTCCCGATTATTTTGCCTGAAGCCAACATACGTGTTGTTGTTCTGGCTCTGAGCTGCGAGAGAAAAAGAAAAATATTAAGCCACAGCTAGTCATTCACAGCACTTAAGTGAAATGTTGTGCTTTGCTCACCTTGTGAAGCCCACAAACAACGCACATGCTCTGCTTGAACCCAGACAATAAGGAAAATCCTGCACAAAAAAGATGTAAACATCAGAGAACGCAGACAGCTAACAACAATTCACTTTGCATATCTGCAGAAACTTACCCCAAATGAACTCCACAAGTCATATTTCTCTCTCTGTTCCAACACAGCAGTAAAGAACCAGTAGCCCTGAAGTGACTTGCTCTGCTTGTCTGAGCAGCAGAAAGGAGGCTTTATGGCAGCTTGCAGCCAATCAGGGCCTAATGAGCTGATTGTCTACAGGTGCTGCTGTGCTGTCAGGGTGGCAACTGAGTGCTGTTGATTTTCTGATTTTCTGAAGTACTCAGATCTGGTAGTTGAGTAAAAGTAGAAGTACTCAGATTGTGTAGTTGAGTAAAAGTAGAAGTACTCAGATCTGGTAGTTGAGTAAAAGTAGAAGTACTCAGATTGTGTAGTTGAGTAAAAGTAGAAGTACTCAGATCTTGTACTTGAGTAAAAGTAGAAGTACCAGAGTGTAGGAATACTCTGTTACAGTAAAAGTCCTGCATTCAAAATGTTCCTCAAGTGAAAGTAGAAAAGTATTATCATCAAAATATAGTGAAAGTAGCGACAGTAAAAGTAGTCATTGTGCAGATTGGTCCATTTCAGAATAATATATATGATATGTTTTATAATGATTGATCATGAAAGTGTTCTCAAAGCTGGTAAAGGTGCAGCTAGTTTGAATGACTTTGTATACTGCAGGGTAGCTTGTGGATTTACTCCAGGTGGAACTAAAGTCTGATTTAACACTTGATTATATTTCACATCATTCATCCACATCTGTGAAGTAACTAAAGGTATTAAATACATGTAGTGGAGTAAAAGTACACCATGTACCTCTGAATTGGAGTGGGGTAGAAGTACAAAGTAGCATAAAATGGAAATACTCAAGTAAAGTACAAGTACCTCAAAATTGTACTTAAGTACAGTACTTGAGTAAATGTACTTAGGTACTTTACACCACTGTATCTACGTATGAATCCATAATCATTTTTGGGCAAGAGGACCAGATTTTGGATGGTCATTTGAACACATTTGCAATTTTTTATTATGACGAGTGAAAATGTCAGCCATGCTCAGGAAAATGACTTCGAGAACAAATGTGTTTTTATCTTTTGTGCTTACTGTTTTTGTTTTTGCATTTGACAAATGTGTCTTAAATAGAAAAATATGCATAAGTAATGTATTAAATTGGAGGTTTTTGTTTTAGACTGAGTTTGAACTAGTGATGTGTCGGTCGCGAACGAGCCGATTCTTTTGAACGGCTCTTTGGTACGAACGAGGGGAACCGAGTCGTACTTGGTGAGAGCCGTTCTTGTTATCGTTCAATCGTTGGTCCGCACTCACTGCCTGCCAAAATCCACTCGCCTTTTAAAAAGCTTGATTTTGTTCCCCAAACGTATTCTGTGAAGATCCGCCCCTACTCTGTTTGGTAGGTTTCAGCACGAGGAGTGAGATGGGGTGGGTCTTAACGGAATACGCGAGAGAGAGAAGTCATAACAAGTGGTACAGGACAGGTAGACAACGTGTTTTTCGGATGGAAAATGAGCCAAACGCGAAAACGCAGCAGCATTTGGATTCACTTCAACCAAAACCCAGGCAGTGATAAAGCGCACCATTTGTAAAGGCAAAATATCCTTTAAAGCAGGATCAACAAATAATCTCCATCGCCACTTAAAAACACAGTATCTAATATTAAGAGTTGCATGAATTTCATTCAAGGCAAGGCAACTTTATTTACTTAACACATACAGAGGGTAAATTCAAAGTACATTCACTGACATGATGACATGGATATGGCGCCACCTTGTGTGATGTTTACAATGCCGATTATTGACATTAGGTCTGGCAATACAGTCAATCATTATCCTGGTGATTATTTTGCAAATAAACCTAGTAACCTTAAAAAAAACGGCTCTTTTGAACGGCTCTTTTGAACGGCTCTTTGAAAGGAACGGAGCCATAAGATCCGGCTCCCTTCAAAGAGCCATAATTCCCATCACTAGTTTGAACGCCCCCCAGTGGCCATGCATGTTAACACAGCTGTGTGTTTGACAGGACACGTCTTTGATTAATTACTCTAAGGTGCGTTTTAGCTAAATGCAGGACTCTCTTAAGGTAGGGTAGGTAAGTTTGAGAAACCGGCTCGAGATACACTTGTTATATTCCATGGAATGCTCTTAACATCCTGATAGCAATGAATATCTGAAGTGCTTTGACAACAAATCCATAAAGAAATATCATCTGTGGAAGCTGTAGTACTGTAAAAAGCACGACCAATCACCTGAGCCGGCCCGGCTAAAATAACTGGATGGCCTACCTGCCTGTCAGCCTTCCATCTGTGCACAAACTTATCTCGTGCCCTCATTGGTCATGTGCGCGTTCGTGTGTGTTGGAGGAGGGGCTCTGTGAGGAAGTCTGTAAGGAAGTGGAAGATTTATTCCGGTTGTGTATTTTCAAATTCTAGCGCACTCGAGCCGGTTTCTCCTAAATTACCTACCCCACCTTTAAGTTTAGTGCTCAATGTCTATCAATTGACTTGTACATTTAGTGAGAGCCCCTTAAATTGTTAAGATATGTCACCACTTGAGCTAAAACCTAAGAATCGCATTATGAAGAGCTCCACTGGTAAAGGTCAAAGTAAAAAGTCCAACTCAAAAGCAGACACTGCATCCTTTTAAGAACCAGTGTGCCACATCAACAAATATCTGTAGTGATCACTAATTAACGGGGTTACATAATTCAATCAAGGAACTACAGGTTGGGGGTATTGTTTCCGCACGGACACATATGTTGACGGTACCTCCGGGGTATATACTGTGGGTGTTTCTGAATCGCGAGTAAAGCTGCTTCAGAGCCACTATTTCAAGCATCCTACGTCATCGAGTGCCGCCGAAGTACTGTTCCAATCTCCAGTATACTTGGAAATCTACCGAGCCCGGCGTACTCCGTTTGGAGAAATATCGAGTCTGCACATGAGTAGACTTCGGTCTTAAAATCCCCACAATGCTTTGCGCACGGACCAATTTCCCCAAATCTGGGGCGGAAGATGTAAGGCGGGGCCTCTCATATGACGCACACTTGCTAGCGTGTTCCACACTTCGTTTTCCGAATGCCAGGAAGTATTCTTGACTCGCTTCTGAAGCAAGATGCTCGGCAGACATGTGCTACCAAGCAAGCGTACTCGCGATTGAGAAACACCCTGTGTCCTCCTCCCTTTCTCTTCCCAGGCTGCGACCCGACAGCATGTCCATTTCTGCTGCTCAATAAAGCCAGATTTGCACCTTCGATGCACCGCCTCCGACTCCCTTCTCTCGGCACTACATATCTCACTTTTGTAAATTTGCAATAGTTTAAACTAGAACTATTGAGACATTTGTTTTTGCAAAGGGGATTTTCACAATCTTTTGTCAGCGCTGTAAAGTATTAAGATACATTTTGCAAATTTGTTTTGTAAAGGAAACATTTTTCCAACACACCTTTTAGACACTAGAGGGCACCAAGCTTACATCCACAAGCACTCATGCTTAGGCATTCACCATCTCACAATACACGGTGAAGTAAAGACACAACCAAGTGGTAAATTAATGTATTTATTTCATTTAAATATCATAAAATATTCATCCGAGGACACCAGCTGCACCTGTAAGAACAAACAAACATTAGTCACCAGGTTTAAGTTAATGTATAGAACAGCAAGAAAGTGAGCAGTACTCACCTGCTATTGTCCCCACTTTGGCTTGAACTGCAACCATTTGACCTGAGGAGAGATGTAGGCCTGGGGTTCAGCCTGCCTCCGAGGGGCCACGTAGGTCCTGTTGGGAGCCTCGTAGGCCTGGTTCGTTGCTTGCCGCTGAGGGGCTACGTAGACCTTCTTGGGAGTCTTGTGGGCCCTGTTGGGAGTCTTGTGGGCCTTGTTGGGAGTCTCGTAGGCAGTCTTGTGGGCCTTGTTGGGAGTCTCGTAGGCAGTCTTGTGGGCCTTGTTGGGAGTCTCGTAGGCAGTCTTGTGGGCCTTGTTGGGAGTCTCGTAGGCAGTCTTGTGGGCCTTGTTGGGAGTCTCGTAGGCAGTCTTGTGGGCCTTGTTGGGAGTCTCGTAGGCAGTCTTGTGGGCCTTGTTGGGAGTCTCGTAGGCCCTGTTGGGAGTCTTGTAGGCCTTGTTGGGAGTCTTGTAGGCAGTCTTGTGGGCCTTGTTGGGAGTCTGCTGCTGGGGAGCGACGTAGGCCCTGTTGGGAGCCACGTATGCCTTGTTGGGAGTCTGCTGCTGGGGAGCCACGTAGGCCCTGTTGGGAGCCACGTATGCCTTGTTGGGAGTCTGCTGCTGGGGAGCCTCGTAGGCCCTGTTGGGAGCCACGTAGGCCTTGTTGGGAGTCTTGTGGGCCCTGTTGGGAGTCTGCTGCTGGGGAGCATTGTTGGGAGCCACGTAGGCCTGGTTCGTTGCTAGCCGCTGAGGGGCCACGTAGGCCTTGATGGGAGTCTGGTAGGCCTGCGGGGGCTTTCTGACACTCACTTTCTCCTGCCCAGGAGCCTTCAGTCGTCTGATATCATAGCCACCAAATTGATCAGGGATGATGTGGGTCTTGGTCGGGGCAAACTTCTTACCAGAGGTTCCCTCTCTGGACGATTTGGAGTCGTAGCTCGTTGAGTAACTGCGAGGCTTGAAGACGGGACCATTTCCTACATTGGACTCAAGAGAAGTGCCATAACTTGAGGCCATGGAAGTAGCCTTGTAGCTTCCTCGGGCATTCCCTGAAAACACTTTACTCTTGTATGGGGTCACAACCTCAGTCTGGCTGGGGTTTTTAGGAGCTGAGGGACGGGAAGGTTTATCCGTTTTAGACACTAGCTTAGCACGAACACTGGAGGAAGTTTTGGTCCGTGCAGGGATTTGGTTTGGCTCAGGAGCGCCGGCACCAAACAGGATGGAAGACTTCCCTGTGTCCTTGTTCCTGCTCTTACTCAGAGAATCGCTACCAGCAATAGCACTAGAAAGGCCATGAAAACGCTGTTTAGGCACACGATTCAAGTTAGGTTTTGACACTGAGCTGCCCTGCACTAACCTGACTTTAGCAAAGCCACTTTTAGCTGGCTGTGAAACAGTTTGTGTGTAGCTACCAGTAGAAGGCCCCCGGCTAAAACTACTGCCCACAGCTGAAGGTATGTTTAAGTTTGTGCTCTGCGCTGAGCCCGGAGGGGCTTGTCTGAGTCGATTCTGGAGATAGTTGCTGGGACCGGCTTCCCGATTATTTTGCCTGAAGCCAACATACGTGTTGTTGTTCTGGCTCTGAGCTGCGAGAGAAAAAGAAAAATATTAAGCCACAGCTAGTCATTCACAGCACTTAAGTGAAATGTTGTGCTTTGCTCACCTTGTGAAGCCCACAAACAACGCACATGCTCTGCTTGAACCCAGACAATAAGGAAAATCCTGCACAGAAAAGATGTAAACATCAGAGAACGCAGACAGCTAACAACAATTCACTTTGCATATCTGCAGAAACTTACCCCAAATGAACTCCACAAGTCATATTTCTCTCTCTGTTCCAACACAGCAGTAAAGAACCAGTACCCCTGAAGTGACTTGCTCTGCTTGTCTGAGCAGCAGAAAGGAGGCTTTATTGCAGCTTGCAGCCAATCAGGGCCTAATGAGCTGATTGTCTACAGGTGCTGCTGTGCTGTCAGGGTGGCAACTGAGTGCTGTTGATTTTCTGATTTTCTGAAGTACTCAGATCTGGTAGTTGAGTAAAAGTAGAAGTACTCAGGTCTTGTACTTGAGTAAAAGTAGAAGTACTCAGGTCTTGTACTTGAGTAAAAGTAGAAGTACTCAGGTCTTGTACTTGAGTAAAAGTAGAAGTACTCAGATCTTGTACTTGAGTAAAAGTAGAAGTACTCAGATCTTGTACTTGAGTAAAAGTAGAAGTACCAGAGTGTAGGAATACTCAGTTACAGTAAAAGTCCTGCATTCAAAATGTACCTCAAGTAAAAGTATAAAAGTATTCTCATCAAAATATAGTTAGTAGCGACAGTAAAAGTAGTCATTGTGCAGATTGGTCCATTTCAGAATAATATATATGATATGTTTTATAATGATTGATCATGAAAGTGTTCTCAAAGCTGGTAAAGGTGCAGCTAGTTTGAATGACTTTGTATACTGCAGGGTAGCTTGTGGATTTACTCCAGGTGGAACTAAAGTCTGATTTAACACTTGATTATATTTCACATCATTCATCCACATCTGTGAAGTAACTAAAGGTATTAATACATGTAGTGGAGTAGAAGTACACCATGTACCTCTGAATTGGAGTGGGGTAGAAGTACAAAGTAGCATAAAATGGAAATACTCAAGTAAAGTACAAGTACCTCAAAATTGTACTTAAGTACAGTACTTGAGTAAATGTACTTAGGTACTTTACACCACTGTATCTACGTATGAATCCATAATCATTTTTGGGCAAGAGGACCAGATTTTGGATGGTCATTTGAACACATTTGCAATTTTTTATTATGACGAGTGAAAATGTCAGCCATGCTCAGGAAAATGACTTCGAGAACAAATGTGTTTTTATCTTTTGTGCTTACTGTTTTTGTTTTTGCATTTGACAAATGTGTCTTAAATAAAATATGCACAAATATTAAATTGGAGGTTTTTGTTTTAGACTGAGTTTGAACGCCCCCCAGTGGCCATGCATGTTAACACAGCTGTGTGTTTGACAGGACACGTCTTTGATTAATTACTCTCGTGCGTTTTAGCTAAATGCAGGACTCTCTTAAGGTAGGGTAGGTAAGTTTGAGAAACCGGCTCGAGATACACTTGTTATATTCCATGGAATGCTCTTAACATCCCGATAGCAATGAATATCTGAAGTGCTTTGACAACAAATCCATAAAGAAATATCATCTGTGGAAGCTGTAGTACTGTAAAAAGCACGACCAATCACCTGAGCCGGCCCGGCTAAAATAACTGGATGGCCTACCTGCCTGTCAGCCTTCCATCTGTGCACAAACTTATCTCGTGCCCTCATTGGTCATGTGCGCGTTCGTGTGTGTTGGAGGGGCTCTGTGAGGAAGTGGAAGATTTATTCCGGTTGTGTATTTTCAAATTCTAGCGCACTCGAGCCGGTTTCTCCTAAATTACCTACCCCACCTTTAAGTTTAGTGCTCAATGTCTATCAATTGACTTGTACATTTAGTGAGAGCCCCTTAAATTGTTAAGATATGTCACCACTTGAGCTAAAACCTAAGAATCGCATTATGAAGAGCTCCACTGGTAAAGGTCAAAGTAAAAAGTCCAACTCAAAAGCAGACACTGCATCCTTTTAAGAACCAGTGTGCCACATCAACAAATATCTGTAGTGATCACTAATTAACGGGGTTACATAATTCAATCAAGGAACTACAGGTTGGGGGTATTGTTTCCGCACGGACACATATGTTGACGGTACCTCCGGGGTATATACTGTGGGTGTTTCTGAATCGCGAGTAAAGCTGCTTCAGAGCCACTATTTCAAGCATCCTACGTCATCGAGTGCCGCCGAAGTACTGTTCCAATCTCCAGTATACTTGGAAATCTACCGAGCCCGGCGTACTCCGTTTGGAGAAATATCGAGTCTGCACATGAGTAGACTTCGCGGTCTTAAAATCCCCACAATGCTTTGCGCACGGACCAATTTCCCCAAATCTGTGGCGGAAGATGTAAGAGGCGGGGCCTCTCATATGACGCACACTTGCTAGCGTGTTCCACACTTCGTTTTCCGAATGCCAGGAAGTATTCTTGACTCGCTTCTGAAGCAAGATGCTCGGCAGACATGTGCTACCAAGCAAGCGTACTCGAGATTGAGAAACACCCTGTGTCCTCCTCCCTTTCTCTTCCCAGGCTGCGACCCGACAGCATGTCCATTTCTGCTGCCCAATAAAGCCAGATTTGCACCTTCGATGCACCGCCTCCGACTCCCTTCTCTCGGCACTACATATCTCACTTTTGTAAATTTGCAATAGTTTAAACTAGAACTATTGAGACATTTGTTTTTGCAAAGGGGATTTTCACAATCTTTTGTCAGCGCTGTAAAGTATTAAGATACATTTTGCAAATTTGTTTTGTAAAGGAAACATTTTTCCAACACACCTTTTAGACACTAGAGGGCACCAAGCTTACATCCACAAGCACTCATGCTTAGGCATTCACCATCTCACAATACAAGGTGAAGTAAAGACACAACCAAGTGGTAAATTAATGTATTTATTTCATTTAAATATCATAAAATATTCATCCGAGGACACCAGCTGCACCTGTAAGAACAAACAAACATTAGTCACCAGGTTTAAGTTAATGTATAGAACAGCAAGAAAGTGAGCAGTACTCACCTGCTATTGTCCCCACTTTGGCTTGAACTGCAACCATTTGACCTGAGGAGAGATGTAGGCCTGGGGTTCAGCCTGCCTCCGAGGGGCCACGTAGGTCCTGTTGGGAGCCTCGTAGGCCTGGTTCGTTGCTTGCCGCTGAGGGGCTACGTAGACCTTCTTGGGAGTCTTGTGGGCCTTGTTGGGAGTCTCGTAGGCAGTCTTGTGGGCCTTGTTGGGAGTCTCGTAGGCAGTCTTGTGGGCCTTGTTGGGAGTCTCGTAGGCCCTGTTGTGAGTCTTGTAGGCCTTGTTGTGAGCCTCGTAGGCCTTGTGGGCCCTGTTGTGAGTCTGCTGCTGGGGAGCCACGTAGGCCTTGTTGGGAGCCACGTAGGCCTTGTTGGGAGCCACGTATGCCTTGTTGGGAGTCTGCTGCTGGGGAGCGACATAGGCCTTGTTGGGAGTCTGCTGCTGGGGAGCGACGTAGGCCCTGTTGGTAGTCTCGTAGGCCCTGTTGGGAGCCACGTAGGCCTTGTTGGGAGTCTTGTGGGCCTGGTTCGTTGCTAGCCGCTGAGGGGCCACGTAGGCCTTGATGGGAGTCTGGTAGGCCTGCTGGGGCTTCCTCACACTCACTTTCTCCTGCCCAGGAGCCTTCAGCCGTCTGATATCATAGCCACCAAATTGATCAGGGATGATGTGGGTCTTGGTCGGGGCAAACTTCTTACCAGAGGTTCCCTCTCTGGACGATTTGGAGTCGTAGCTCGTTGAGTAACTGCGAGGCTTGAAGACGGGACCATTTCCTACATTGGACTCAAGAGAAGTGCCATAACTTGAGGCCATGGAAGTAGCCTTGTAGCTTCCTCGGGCATTCCCTGAAAACACTTTACTCTTGTATGGGGTCACAACCTCAGTCTGGCTGGGGTTTTTAGGAGCTGAGGGACGGGAAGGTTTATCCGTTTTAGACACTAGCTTAGCACGAACACTGGAGGAAGTTTTGGTCCGTGAAGGGATTTGGTTTGGCTCAGGAGCGCCGGCACCAAACAGGATGGAAGACTTCCCTGTGTCCTTGTTCATGCTCTTACTCAGAGAATCGCTACCGGCAATAGCACTAGAAAGGCCATGAAAACGCTGTTTAGGCACACGATTCAAGTTAGGTTTTGACACCGAGCTGCCCTGCACTAACCTGACTTTAGCAAAGCCACTTTTAGCTGGCTGTGAAACAGTTTGTGTGTAGCTACCAGTAGAAGGCCCCCGGCTAAAACTACTGCCCACAGCTGAAGGTATGTTTAAGTTTGTGCTCTGCGCTGAGCTCGGAGGGGCTTGTCTGAGTCGATTCTGGAGATAGTTGCTGGGACCGGCTTCCCGATTATTTTGCCTGAAGCCAACATACGTGTTGTTGTTCTGGCTCTGAGCTGCGAGAGAAAAAGAAAAATATTAAGCCACAGCTAGTCATTCACAGCACTTAAGTGAAATGTTGTGCTTTGCTCACCTTGTGAAGCCCACAAACAACGCACATGCTCTGCTTGAACCCAGACAATAAGGAAAATCCTGCACAGAAAAGATGTAAACATCAGAGAACGCAGACAGCTAACAACAATTCACTTTGCATATCTGCAGAAACTTACCCCAAATGAACTCCACAAGTCATATTTCTCTCTCTGTTCCAACACAGCAGTAAAGAACCAGTACCCCTGAAGTGACTTGCTCTGCTTGTCTGAGCAGCAGAAAGGAGGCTTTATGGCAGCTTGCAGCCAATCAGGGCCTAATGAGCTGATTGTCTACAGGTGCTGCTGTGCTGTCAGGGTGGCAACTGAGTGCTGTTGATTTTCTGATTTTCTGAAGTACTCAGATCTGGTAGTTGAGTAAAAGTAGAAGTACTCAGATTGTGTAGTTGAGTAAAAGTAAAAGTACTCAGATCTGGTAGTTGAGTAAAAGTAGAAGTACTCAGATTGTGTAGTTGAGTAAAAGTAAAAGTACTCAGATCTGGTAGTTGAGTAAAAGTAGAAGTACTCAGGTCTTGTACTTGAGTAAAAGTAGAAGTACTCAGATTGTGTAGTTGAGTAAAAGTAGAAGTACTCAGATCTGGTTGTTGAGTAAAAGTAGAAGTACTCAGATCTTGTACTTGAGTAAAAGTAGAAGTACTCAGATCTTGTACTTGAGTAAAAGTAGAAGTACTCAGATCTTGTACTTGAGTAAAAGTAGAAGTAATCAGATCTTGTACTTGAGTAAAAGTAGAAGTACTCAGACCTTGTTCTTGAGTACCAGAGTGTAGGAATACTCAGTTACAGTAAAAGTACTGCATTCAAAATGTTCCTCAAGTGAAAGTATAAAAGTATTCTCATCAAAATATAGTTAGTAGCGACAGTAAAAGTAGTCATTGTGCAGATTGGTCCATTTCAGAATAATATATATGATATGTTTTATAATGATTGATCATGAAAGTGTTCTCAAAGCTGGTAAAGGTGCAGCTAGTTTGAATGACTTTGTATACTGCAGGGTAGCTTGTGGATTTACTCCAGGTGGAACTAAAGTCTGATTTAACACTTGATTATATTTCACATCATTCATCCACATCTGTGAAGTAACTAAAGGTATTAATACATGTAGTGGAGTAGAAGTACACCATTTACCTCTGAATTGGAGTGGGGTAGAAGTACAAAGTAGCATAAAATGGAAATACTCAAGTAAAGTACAAGTACCTCAAAATTGTACTTAAGTACAGTACTTGAGTAAATGTACTTAGGTACTTTACACCACTGTATCTACGTATGAATCCATAATCATTTTTGGGCAAGAGGACCAGATTTTGGATGGTCATTTGAACACATTTGCAATTTTTTATTATGACGAGTGAAAATGTCAGCCATGCTCAGGAAAATGACTTCGAGAACAAATGTGTTTTTATCTTTTGCTTACCGTTTTTGTTTTTGCATTTGACAAATGTGTCTTAAATAGAAAAATATGCATAAGTATTAAATTGGAGGTTTTTGTTTTAGACTGAGTTTGAACGCCCCCCAGTGGCCATGCATGTTAACACAGCTGTGTGTTTGACAGGACACGTCTTTGATTAATTACTCTCGTGCGTTTTAGCTAAATGCAGGACTCTCTTAAGGTAGGGTAGGTAAGTTTGAGAAACCGGCTCGAGATACTTGTTATATTCCATGGAATGCTCTTCACATCCAGATAACAATGAATATCTGAAGTGCTTTGACAAAAAATCCATTAAAAAATATCATCTGTGGAAGCTGTAGTACTGTAAAAAGCACGACCAATCATTTGAGCCGGCCCGGCTAAAATAACTGGATGGCCTACCTGCCTGTCAGCCTTCCATCTGTGCACAAACTTATCTCGTGCCCTCATTGGTCATGTGCGCGTTCGTGTGTGTTGGAGGAGGGGCTCTGTGAGGAAGTCTGTAAGGAAGTGGCAGATTTTTTCCGGTTGTGTATTTTCAAATTCTAGCGCACTCGAGCCGGTTTCTCCTAAATTACCTACCCCGCCTTTAAGTTTAGTGCTCAATGTCTATCAATTGACTTGTACATTTAGTGAGAGCCCCTTACATTGATAAGATATGTCACCACTTGAGCTAAAACCTAAGAATCGCATTATGAAGAGCTCCACTGGTAAAGGTCAAAGTAAAAAGTCCAACTCAAAAGCAGACACTGCATCCTTTTAAGAACCAGTGTGCCACATCAACAAATATCTGTAGTGATCACTAATTAACGGGGTTACATAATTCTATCAAGGAACTACAGGTTGGGGGTATTGTTTCCGCACGGACACATGTTGACGGTACCTCCGGGGTATATACTGTGGGTGTTTCTCAATCGCGAGTAAAGCTGCTTCAGAGCCACTATATCAAGCATCCTACGTCATCGAGTGCCGCCGCAGTACTGTTCCAATCTCCAGTATACTTGGAAATCTACCGAGCCCGGCGTACTCCGTTTGGAGAAATATCGAGTCTGCACATGAGTAGACTTCGCGGTCTTAAAATCCCCACAATGCTTTGCGCAGGGACCAATTTCCCCAAATCTGGGGCGGAAGATGTAAGAGGCGGGGCCTCTCATATGACGCACACTTGCTAGCGTGTTCCCAGTGGCGTTTTTATATGTACAAAAGTGGTGGGGCACAAAAAACTTAGATGTCTATATATATAAGCTTCTGCAGTGACGTGCAGTGAGGTTCATGGCTGGTGAGGCACTGGCACTGACTCTTCAGGTTTACAAATATTATATTTTGACCTAAACCAAAATATAATATTATTTTCAAAAGCTTTTTTTGTCTGATGCTTCGATTAATTTTAAACAGACAGTTCAACAAAAGGATACCCAAAAAATGTAATTTGATCATTTAAATATTGAATTGTTCTCTCTAAGTAAGATCCCATTTTCAAAAAATTGCGGTCTTACCTTGACTTGAAGATGAAGTCCATTTGCCTATCCTTCTGGACAAAAAATTCTATAACTTTTTTGTAAAAGTCCTCCTTATCATCTTGTAGTTTCAAAAGTCTATCATAAATCTAATCGATAGATTTATGATTCGAAAATGATAAAAGTAGGGTAGACATGTGGATATTATCCGGCTGAACAAAAGGTGCATTTATCTAACAGGTACGTTTCCCACAGATCTTATTTCAAGCTATTTTCTAAAATCCTCTGGAGAAACCTCATTGCTTTTTTGCAGCTTACTTCCTGGTTTTAGGACGCGTCACTGCAGCTCTCGTCTCCTCTTATTATACATCCATGCTCTTCACACACCACACTTTTCGCGGCACACGTACTTACAGCCAATCAGCTCTGAATGATGTGAGATGACGTATGGTGGGGATGGCAGCTCTGTGCCCCTATGGTGTTTTTTTTTTTGCCACACACATTGAAAAATACTCTGAGCATGCGCAGTGTAGTTTTTACAGTCACCGTTCACTTTGACAGTGAAAGGGTGGGGCATGATCAGGTTTTGTCCCACATGGCTCAAAACGGCACTGTAGACACTAATTAGAAGAACACAGACTAAAACAGCAATGCACAGACGAATCAGACGATTAAACATGACCTTAAAATATATTTTATATATTTTTTTATTTCTTTTTTTGCATCTCTTTCCATTTTTTGTAATCATTATGGGCCGTGTCTCAATTCAGGGGTTTCATCCTTCGAAGGGTGCATTCGTAGACCGCATACGTCACTTCCGCCGAAAGAAGGCTGTCCCAATTAAAAATAAAGACGAGACTCCTCCGAATGCGGCCCACGAATGCAGCCTACTTTTCCCCAATTTGAAGGATACATCTGATGTACACTCCGCGGCCTACCATATCCCAGGGTGCAATACGCGCAGGGAAGAGTGAGTTTTTTTCAAATGAAATGGCTTCCGGTCTCCCCAGCAGAGTGGATTTAAAAGCAGCAGCAAGCGGAGGAATCACTAATAAATGTGAGTATTGGGTTTTAACTTACTTTAAATTAACTAACGTCACACACGTCAAACCCAAGGGGCATTAAAACGTACATTTTCGTTAAATAATACGGATAAATATGTGACGCTAACTAGCTAGCTGGACGTACTGCACTGTTGTTTACACTTATTTTTAATTCAATTCAGAAGTTTACTAAAGTCATACAGAGATCGTGGCTCTGTTATAGATAAGTTATACTTTATATTACATAAATAGACCAAAGTGAAAACATTTAGACCGGTATAGCCTACAGTACGGTGGGATTTATAAAAGGCTACCCTGACGTGTAGCTGCTGTTAGCTTTATGTATTTCTCTGACATGTTGCAATGTTTTACTGTTTATTAAACTTTGGGACAACATTACAACCTTTGTGTTCAGCTCATGCTGCTTTGAGGTAGGGCTAAAAGAAAAGCCTATTTTAAATATTTCCACCAGATTTGATCATCTTTTATAAGGTTAAAGTTTATTTAATGTATCCTAATCCCATAATAATAAGACAATCAAAAATAGACAGCAGCCTTTTGCTTGATGTTAGTTTGTGCAGTGCTGTCAAAGGGATGCACGTGTGACTGTCATTTAATCTCTTTAGTTTTTTAAAAACCAGAACAGTACATCATTTTAAATGATCCTTTAGGGATTGTTTGTCTGACTCTGAAATGCTTAGTTACATTTTGCAATAATACTTCTGCAACCCTGTGTTTAATATGATTAATTCACTTTTTAATTTTTCTCTTGTTTTTCTCTGTAATTAGTAAAATTCTGGAGAAATGGATCTGCTGGAGAAGGACCCCTAATCTGAAAAGTGCACAGCGGATCATCAGGACAGAGCTGCCATCCACCTGGAACCCCGTGGTGCTGAAGAAAGCAAAACGGCGATCAGGAACATCCTCCACCCAGACCTCTGCTTACTGCCGTCCTACATACTTGTGTGTCTTAGTTTCAGAATATGATTTTGTATGTGTCCTTTCTTTGAATAGATATGTAACGATTATAGCTTGAGTCTGTCTGATTCCCCAAACAACTGCTTCTATATACTTGCTGCACATATAATACAAATAAACAACTGCATAAACACACTTTTGCTGATATTTGTTTTACTGCTGGTGATGTTAAATAACATGATTGATTTGCTCTGTCTCAATGATGAAAGTTATAATAATAGAAGACATGAAGCTGCAGAGAGAGGATGGATATATTCTTACCTCTACTTTGTGATAAGATGAAAATACAATATTAAATTGTAATTGTTAAACACATTGTTTATTTCATTTACTGAGGTTTTAACCATTATTTACAACATGTGTACATAAGCAGTGGAATAATAGGATATCTCTAGGTCATTAAACTGTCTTCAGTTTAATTTTATTAATACAAAAAATAGGTCATAGAAAATGTTTAATTGTGTATTTCAGCAGAGCGGGGGATCACGGTGCTGCTGGACCTGGAGGTGCTGACCTGGGGTCAGTGGGACATCATCTGGGCAGGTTTAGGGGAAGAAGGAGAATATAAACTGTTATGATCACAGCTATTAAGATTAGAACACTAATATTGTTAAGAATCAATCTATACAACATGCTTTGGTTCATTTAAAAAACATATTGTTTTATTAGTACAGAAAAATTAAGACTTATTTTAAATATGAAATAATATGATTAAATTACATCAGCTATATATAATTTACTTGTTAACTTACTAATGTAACATTACTGGGGGCTAAAGGAACAGCTTCATCTTATTTACCTGGCCATGGTCCTCTTTAATTCATCGCCGACGGTGATCTCCAAAAAATGTAAAAGTAAAAGTAAAGTTTCTGGATCCTTTTCAGCTGAGTTAGCTTGTAAGCTAATTTGCTAGCAGGCTGCTGGAGCAGCGCAACCGAACAGCGCGTATCACGTGACATAAATACGAAGCGCTCCGTAGGCTAGACCGTCTCATTTCGTAGGCCGCTCGGTCCAGCCTACCCGGTCTACGTGGGCTGGGTCCTCCGTGGACCGCGTAGGCTGCGTACTCCGAAGGGTGCAGCCCCTGAATTGAGACACGGCCTATGTGTAATACTTTCTGCTGACACTAGGTGGGGCTGTGCCCCACCTGCCCCTAATGACCAGTCGCCACTGCGTGTTCCACACTTCGTTTTCCGAATGCCAGGAAGTATTCTTGACTCGCTTCTGAAGCAAGATGCTCGGCAGACATGTGCTACCAAGCAAGCGTACTCGAGATTGAGAAACACCCTGTGTCCTCCTCCCTTTCGCTTTCTCTTCCCAGGCTGCGACCCGACAGCATGTCCATTTCTGCTGCTCAATAAAGCCAGATTTGCACCTTCGATGCACCGCCTCCGACTCCCTTCTCTCGGCACTACATATCTCACACTTTTGTAAATTTGCAATAGTTTAAACTAGAACTATTGAGACATTTGTTTTTGCAAAGGGGATTTTCACAATCTTTTGTCAGCGCTGTAAAGTATTAAGATACATTTTGCAAATTTGTTTTGTAAAGGAAACATTTTTCCAACACACCTTTTAGACACTAGAGGGCACCAAGCTTACATCCACAAGCACTCATGCTTAGGCATTCACCATCTCACAATACAAGGTGAAGTAAAGACACAACCAAGTGGTAAATTAATGTATTTATTTCATTTAAATATCATAAAATATTCATCCGAGGACACCAGCTGCACCTGTAAGAACAAACAAACATTAGTCACCAGGTTTAAGTTAATGTATAGAACAGCAAGAAAGTGAGCAGTACTCACCTGCTATTGTCCCCACTTTGGCTTGAACTGCAACCATTTGACCTGAGGAGAGATGTAGGCCTGGGGTTCAGCCTGCCTCTGAGGGGCCACATAGGCCCTGTTGGGAGCCTCGTAGGCCTGGTTCGTTGCTTGCCGCTGAGGGGCTACGTAGACCTTCTTGGGAGTCTTGTGGGCCTTGTTGGGAGTCTCGTAGGCAGTCTTGTGGGCCTTGTTGGGAGTCTCGTAGGCAGTCTTGTGGGCCTTGTTGGGAGTCTTGTGGGCCTGTTGGGAGTCTTGTGGGCCTTGATGGGAGTCTGGTGGGCCTGGTTCGTTGCTTGCCGCTGAGGGGCCACGTAGGCCTGGTTCGTTGCTTGCCGCTGAGGGGCCACGTAGGCCTTGATGGGAGTCTGGTAGGCCTGCTGGGGCTTTCTGACACTCACTTTCTCCTGCCCAGGAGCCTTCAGCCGTCTGATATCATAGCCACCAAATTGATCAGGGATGATGTGGGTCTTGGTCGGGGCAAACTTCTTACCAGAGGTTCCCTCTCTGGACGATTTGGAGTCGTAGCTCGTTGAGTAACTGCGAGGCTTGAAGACGGGACCATTTCCTACATTGGACTCAAGAGAAGTGCCATAACTTGAGGCCATGGAAGTAGCCTTGTAGCTTCCTCGGGCATTCCCTGAAAACACTTTACTCTTGTATGGGGTCACAACCTCAGTCTGGCTGGGGTTTTTAGGAGCTGAGGGACGGGAAGGTTTATCCGTTTTAGACACTAGCTTAGCACGAACACTGGAGGAAGTTTTGGTCCGTGAAGGGATTTGGTTTGGCTCAGGAGCGCCGGCACCAAACAGGATGGAAGACTTCCCTGTGTCCTTGTTCATGCTCTTACTCAGAGAATCGCTACCGGCAATAGCATTAGAAAGGCCATGAAAACGCTGTTTAGGCACACGATTCAAGTTAGGTTTTGACACTGAGCTGCCCTGCACTAACCTGACTTTAGCAAAGCCACTTTTAGCTGGCTGTGAAACAGTTTGTGTGTAGCTACCAGTAGAAGGCCCCCGGCTAAAACTACTGCCCACAGCTGAAGGTATGTTTAAGTTTGTGCTCTGCGCTGAGCTCGGAGGGGCTTGTCTGAGTCGATTCTGGAGATAGTTGCTGGGACCGGCTTCCCGATTATTTTGCCTGAAGCCAACATACGTGTTGTTGTTCTGGCTCTGAGCTGCGAGAGAAAAAGAAAAATATTAAGCCACAGCTAGTCATTCACAGCACTTAAGTGAAATGTTGTGCTTTGCTCACCTTGTGAAGCCCACAAACAACGCACATGCTCTGCTTGAACCCAGACAATAAGGAAAATCCTGCACAGAAAAGATGTAAACATCAGAGAACGCAGACAGCTAACAACAATTCACTTTGCATATCTGCAGAAACTTACCCCAAATGAACTCCACAAGTCATATTTCTCTCTCTGTTCCAACATAGCAGTAAAGAACCAGTACCCCTGAAGTGACTTGCTCTGCTTGTCTGAGCAGCAGAAAGGAGGCTTTATTGCAGCTTGCAGCCAATCAGGGCCTAATGAGCTGATTGTCTACAGGTGCTGCTGTGCTGTCAGGGTGGCAACTGAGTGCTGTTGATTTTCTGATTTTCTGAAGTACTCAGATCTTGTACTTGAGTAAAAGTAGAAGTACTCAGATCTTGTACTTGAGTAAAAGTAGAAGTACTCAGGTCTTGTACTTGAGTAAAAGTAGAAGTACTCAGATCTTGTACTTGAGTAAAAGTAGAAGTACTCAGATCTTGTACTTGAGTAAAAGTAGAAGTACTCAGATCTTGTACTTGAGTAAAAGTAGAAGTACTCAGATCTTGTACTTGAGTAAAAGTAGAAGTACTCAGATCTTGTACTTGAGTAAAAGTAGAAGTGCCAGAGTGTATGAATACTCTGTTACAGTAAAAGTCCTGCATTCAAAATGTTCCTCAAGTAAAAGTATAAAAGTGTTATCATCAAAATATAGTTAGTAGCGACAGTAAAAGTAGTCATTGTGCAGATTGGTCCATTTCAGAATAATATATATGATATGTTTTATGATTGATCATGAAAGTGTTCTCAAAGCTGGTAAAGGTGCAGCTAGTTTGAATGACTTTGTATACTGCAGGGTAGCTTGTGGATTTACTCCAGGTGGAACTAAAGTCTGATTTAACACTTGATTATATTTCACATCATTAATCCACATCTGTGAAGTAACTAAAGGTATTAAATACATGTAGTGGAGTAGAAGTACACCATGTACCTCTGAATTGGAGTGGGGTAGAAGTACAAAGTAGCATAAAATGGAAATACTCAAGTAAAGTACAAGTACCTCAAAATTGTACTTAAGTACAGTACTTGAGTAAATGTACTTAGGTACTTTACACCACTGTATCTACGTATGAATCCATAATCATTTTTGGGCAAGAGGACCAGATTTTGGATGGTCATTTGAACACATTTGCAATTTTTTATTATGACGAGTGAAAATGTCAGCCATGCTCAGGAAAATGACTTCGAGAACAAATGTGTTTTTATCTTTTGTGCTTACTGTTTTTGTTTTTGCATTTGACAAATGTGTCTTAAATAAAATATGCACAAATATTAAATTGGAGGTTTTTGTTTTAGACTGAGTTTGAACGCCCCCCAGTGGCCATGCATGTTAACACAGCTGTGTGTTTGACAGGACACGTCTTTGATTAATTACTCTCGTGCGTTTTAGCTAAATGCAGGACTCTCTTAAGGTGGGGTAGGTAAGTTTGAGAAACCGGCTCGAGATACTTGTTATATTCCATGGAATGCTCTTCACATCCCGATAGCAATGAATATCTGAAGTGCTTTGACAACAAATCCATTAAAAAATGTCATCTGTGGAAGCTGTAGTACTGTAAAAAGCACGACCAATCACCTGAGCCGGCCCGGCTAAAATAACTGGATGGCCTACCTGCCTGTCAGCCTTCCATCTGTGCACAAACTTATCTCGTGCCCTCATTGGTCATGTGCGCGTTCGTGTGTGTTGGAGGAGGGGCTCTGTAAGGAAGTGGCAGATTTTTTCCGGTTGTGTATTTTCAAATTCTAGCGCACTCGAGCCGGTTTCTCCAAAATTACCTACCCCGCCTTTAAGTTTAATGCTCAATGTCTATCAATTGACTTGTACATTTAGTGGGAGCCCCTTAAATTGTTAAGATATGTCACCACTTGAGCTAAAACCTAAGAATCGCATTATGAAGAGCTCCACTGGTAAAGGTCAAAGTAAAAAGTCCAACTCAAAAGCAGACACTGCATCCTTTTAAGAACCAGTGTGCCACATCAACAAATATCTCACACTTTTGTAAATTTGCAATAGTTTAAACTAGAACTATTGAGACATTTGTTTTTGCAAAGGGGATTTTCACAATCTTTTGTCAGCGCTGTAAAGTATTAAGATACATTTTGCAAATTTGTTTGCAAACACACCTTTTAGACACTAGAGGGCACCAAGCTTACATCCACAAGCACTCATGCTTCGGCATTCACCATCTCACAATACAAGGTGAAGTAAAGACACAACCAAGTGGTAAATTAATGTATTTATTTCATTTAAATATCATAAAATATTCATCCGAGGACACCAGCTGCACCTGTAAGAACAAACAAACATTAGTCACCAGGTTTAAGTTAATGTATAGAACAGCAAGAAAGCGAGCAGTACTCACCTGCTATTGTCCCCACTTTGGCTTGAACTGCAACCATTTGACCTGAGGAGAGATGTAGGCCTGGGGTTCAGCCTGCCTCCGAGGGGCCACGTAGGCCCTGTTGGGAGCCTCGTAGGCCTGGTTCGTTGCTTGCCGCTGAGGGGCTACGTAGACCTTCTTGGAAGTCTTGTAGGCCCTGTTGGGAGTCTCGTGGGCAGTCTCGTGGGCCTTGTTGGGAGTCTGCTGCTGGGGAGCCACGTAGGCCCTGTTGGGAGTCTCGTAGGCCCTGTTGGGAGTCTCGTAGGCCCTGTTGGGAGCCTCGTAGGCCCTGTTGGGAGCCTCGTAGGCCCTGTTGGGAGCCTCGTAGGCCCTGTTGGGAGCCTCGTAGGCCCTGTTGGGAGCCTCGTAGGCCCTGTTGGGAGTCTCGTAGGCCCTGTTGGGAGCCACGTACGCCCTGTTGGGAGTCTCGTAGGCCCTGTTGGGAGCCACGTAGGCCCTGTTGGGAGCCACGTAGGCCCTGTTGGGAGTCTCGTAGGCCCTGTTGGGAGTCTGCTGCTGGGGAGCCACGTAGGCCTTGTTGGCAGTCTCGTAGGCCCTGTTGGGAGTCTCGTAGGCCCTGTTGGGAGTCTCGTAGGCCCTGTTGGGAGTCTCGTAGGCCCTGTTGGGAGTCTCGTAGGCCCTGTTGGGAGTCTCGTAGGCCCTGTTGGGAGTCTCGTAGGCCCTGTTGGGAGTCTGCTGCTGGGGAGCATTGTAGGCCTTGTTGGGAGCCACGTAGGCCTGGTTCGTTGCTTGCCGCTGAGGGGCCACGTAGGCCTGGTTCGTTGCTTGCCGCTGAGGGGCCACGTAGGCCTTGATGGGAGTCTGGTAGGCCTGGTTCGTTGCTTGCCGCTGAGGGGCCACGTAGGCCTGGTTCGTTGCTTGCCGCTGAGGGGCCACGTAGGCCTTGATGGGAGTCTGGTAGGCCTGGTTCGTTGCTTGCTGCCGAGGGGCCACGTAGGCCTTGATGGGAGTCTGGTAGGCCTGCGGGGGCTTCCTCACACTCACTTTCTCCTGCCCAGGAGCCTTCAGCCGTCTGATATCATAGCCACCAAATTGATCAGGGATGATGTGGGTCTTGGTCGGGGCAAACTTCTTACCAGAGGTTCCCTCTCTGGACGATTTGGAGTCGTAGCTCGTTGAGTAACTGCGAGGCTTGAAGACGGGACCATTTCCTACATTGGACTCAAGAGAAGTGCCATAACTTGAGGCCATGGAAGTAGCCTTGTAGCTTCCTCGGGCATTCCCTGAAAACACTTTACTCTTGTATGGGGTCACAACCTCAGTCTGGCTGGGGTTTTTAGGAGCTGAGGGACGGGAAGGTTTATCCGTTTTAGACACTAGCTTAGCACGAACACTGGAGGAAGTTTTGGTCCGTGCAGGGATTTGGTTTGGCTCAGGAGCGCCGGCACCAAACAGGATGGAAGACTTCCCTGTGTCCTTGTTCATGCTCTTACTCAGAGAATCGCTACCGAGAATAGCACTAGAAAGGCCATGAAAACGCTGTTTAGGCACACGATTCAAGTTAGGTTTTGACACTGAGCTGCCCTGCACTAACCTGACTTTAGCAAAGCCACTTTTAGCTGGCTGTGAAACAGTTTGTGTGTAGCTACCAGTAGAAGGCCCCCGGCTAAAACTACTGCCCACAGCTGAAGGTATGTTTAAGTTTGTGCTCTGCGCTGAGCTCGGAGGGGCTTGTCTGAGTCGATTCTGGAGATAGTTGCTGGGACCGGCTTCCCGATTATTTTGCCTGAAGCCAACATACGTGTTGTTGTTCTGGCTCTGAGCTGCGAGAGAAAAAGAAAAATATTAAGCCACAGCTAGTCATTCACAGCACTTAAGTGAAATGTTGTGCTTTGCTCACCTTGTGAAGCCCACAAACAACGCACATGCTCTGCTTGAACCCAGACAATAAGGAAAATCCTGCACAGAAAAGATGTAAACATCAGAGAACGCAGACAGCTAACAACAATTCACTTTGCATATCTGCAGAAACTTACCCCAAATGAACTCCACAAGTCATATTTCTCTCTCTGTTCCAACACAGCAGTAAAGAACCAGTAGCCCTGAAGTGACTTGCTCTGCTTGTCTGAGCAGCAGAAAGGAGGCTTTATTGCAGCTTGCAGCCAATCAGGGCCTAATGAGCTGATTGTCTACAGGTGCTGCTGTGCTGTCAGGGTGGCAACTGAGTGCTGTTGATTTTCTGATTTTCTGTCACCTCTGAGTTCTTAAGTCCTGTGCAAAAAACTGTAGGGTAAAAGCTTGGTTTTGCAAGAAAGAGCAATATCTCAACCCCCTAAATGACCATTTTGTATATCAGACTTTCTCACAAAGGGTTACTTTCAGTTGTTCAAGAAACTTGTTTGTTTTTGTTGCATTTCTCAGGGTAAAATGAAGAAAGTGAAAACAGAAAACATTTGGGATTTATTGAAGTAATTGGAGAGCAAAAATATGTCTTTGTTTCACCCTGTTGTTACATTACATTACATGTCACTTGTTAGACGCTTTTATCCAAAGCGACTTACATACTCAATACTGTGGGCAATCCCCACAGGAGCAATTTGGGGTGAAGTGTCTCAGGGACACAACGACATGCTGACTGCAGTGGGGTTTAAACCTGTGACCCCCTGATCTGAAAACAAACGCACAACACACTACACCACACGCCTCTTTTTGCTTGTATTTTGGTACTGTTATTGGTTTTGTAAATATCTTTAGGACAAAGAAAAACAAGATTCAAGTTTGAATGTTCATTTGACTTTGTTAGAAGTCCTTTTTGTTGGCTATGGCAGTGGTTCCACACTGGTGTGCCGTGAGGCAAGTCCGGGTGTGCCGTGGGATTTTGTGACAACCATACGTTATTATTGCAATATACAACTACACAAAAATAATTATTTTTTAATTTACTATATCAGTACTTTATATGCACTCATTTCATAATACAGAGGCAAACTCTATACCTAAAAACAATTCTTTAAAAAAAAATCCTCACAGAACCCCATATTTCGCTGTTAACGCAGTTGCAGATGGGAATTATAAAACCGTGACACATCGAAGGCTGAAGGACAACACTAGAACTGTGTAACTTTTTTTCAATAAAATATTAAAGTCTTCCAGTTCGTGACTTTTCCTGAAAGTGTGTTATGTAGCACCCTATGTTGTTAAAAAGAGAGAGAGAGAGAGAGAGAGAGAGAGAGAGAGAGAGAGAGAGAGAGAGAGAGAGAGAGAGAGAGAGAGAGAGAGAGACGAGAGAGAGAGAGAGAGAGAGAGAGAGAGAGAGAGAGAGAGAGATAGAGACAGTCTGTAGTGAAGGAGTGCGCTCCCGCTCACGGGAGACTGCTCGCGCTGCGCTCCGCAGCAAACAGCTGTGGGGCGAGTTGAAAGTACGTTATGCTGGCCGCGGGCCATTTATATTGTCGAGCCCTGAGAGTCCACAGATTATATTGGTATACATTTCATCCCTGTGCTTTGATGAAGCCTAATTTGATAAAGTTTCAAATTAATTTCTGAAATATTTCGTTAATAAATATTTCATGAGTAATATAGTTGTCTTTGTCACATTTTATTTGGCATTAGTAAATAATTATGCACATTTACAGATATTTTACATGATATGAGTGATAACACGTGTTATAAGGGCTATTTCGCACAATAGGTGTGCCTTGAGATTTGTACTTGTCCTTTGGTGTGCCTTGGGCACAAAAAGTTTGGGAACCACTGGGCTATGGTATTCGAGACTGTGTGCATGTTTGTCTGTCCTGCTTTCAGAATAATCATTTATACTGTTATGTGCTCACTCCGTCACAAACACATGCGTTTTCATTAAGATAAAACAATGAAATACACTTGCAAAAACAGTTTTAGGCACGCTACTTCTGTACTTCTGTTAAAGTGTTTTATACTACATTGGCTGTTTGAGTAAACCATTGTTGTGTTATGTTTGATTTATGCACAAAATCCCTAGAACCATAAGCAACACAACACAGGACATTGAACAAAAAAGAACCCATTAAAGGTAACACAGGGAAAGTGATTGAAATGCAAATGGTTGTTGTGGAGGTGAAGTATTTGCGCAAAGTGTGTAAAGAGATTGTTTAATATAGTTTTGCGGCCCATATTTTCTTTATTCATTGATATATTTTCACAGTTTCTAGGTTCTTTGTACAAAGTGGAGGCAGGCAAGAAAGACAAATATGTCTATTAAGAATTCAAGGTAACACAGGGGAGTAATTGATATACAAATGGTCATTTTGGGTGTGAAGTATTCCTTTAACAGCTCTTACCTGCTGGGTTTCACTGATATTTTTCCTCACAGCCTTAATCGTGACCTTGAGAGCGATCATATCAGTGTTGACGGCCTTGTTAAGATTATTAATGCGGACCCCTGTACCCTCCGACGCTGAGCAGACCCGGGGGCTCGCTGCCGTAATGATGCAGTCGCCCCTAACTGTGACAAACAACACATCAGAACCAGCGTGCTTCCTCCACCTTCTGTTTGCAGAAAATACATCACATAAAACCAACTTCACATCATCCAAACACGCTCCAACTTCATTTAAAGGGGCCCTATGATGCTCACTTTCAGGTTGATATCAGTATGTAGTGTCTACTTTAAAGAGTCCTCTCCTGCTGATGTTCAGGTGTATATCAGTATGTAGTGTCTCTACTTTAAAGAGTCCTCTCCTGCTGATGTTCAGGTGTATATCAGTATGTAGTGTCTCTACTTTAAAGAGTCCTCTCCTGCTGATGTTCAGGTGTATATCAGTATGTAGTGTCTCTACTTTAAAGAGTTCTCTCCTGCTGGTGTTCAGGTGTATATCAGTATGTGGTGTCTCTACTTTAAAGAGTCCTCTCCTGCTGATGTTCAGGTGTATATCAGTATGTAGTGTCTCTACTTTAAAGAGTCCTCTCCTGCTGATGTTCAGGTGTATATCAGTATGTAGTGTCTCTACTTTAAAGAGTCCTCTCCTGCTGATGTTCAGGTGTATATCAGTATGTAGTGTCTCTACTTTAAAGAGTCCTCTCCTGATGATGTCCAGGTGTATATCAGTATGTAGTGTCTCTACTTTAAAGAGTCCTCTCCTGCTGATGTTCAGGTGTATATCAGTATGTAGTGTCTCTACTTTAAAGAGTCCTCTCCTGCTGATGTTCAGGTGTATATCAGTATGTAGTGTCTCTACTTTAAAGAGTCCTCTCCTGATGATGTCCAGGTGTATATCAGTATGTAGTGCCTCTACTTTAAAGAGTCCTCTCCTGCTGATGTTCAGGTGTATATCAGTATGTAGTGTCTCTACTTTAAAGAGTCCTCTCCTGATGATGTCCAGGTGTATATCAGTATGTAGTGTCTCCAGTGGCGGCGCCAGGGTATGGCTGGGGTAGGCTACAGCCATACCAAGAAATGGCGTAGCCCCACCTTAGCGCCACCTTAGCCCCACCATGAAAAGTGATGCAAATTAAATTAAATAATAAGCAAAATGCTAAATGTTGAGAACACGGCTTGCGAAAATATACGGGTCGTGTCCACAGCACACAAACTGATACTGCTGTAACAACAAGTGCACGTTACTGATGCAATATGGTTGAGACCATTCAGGCTTATGCTATAAGAGGGGTGCAAGGAATAGTCTAAGTAGTGGGGGAGTTGTATACACTAAAGGTGTGGAAATTCTCTGGCGTTATAATATCAGCGCGGCCGCGGTCAGATCAAAATGCCTCCGAATGCAATTTGAATAGACCTACAGCCAATCAGAGCAACGAAATGTTGGATCTGCGTCATGCCTTACTGATTGAGATCAATCGGAACCGCCATTCAGTATCCCCATTGGATCTTCAACGTGTACTATCATACGTCACGTTCACAGTGATCCCTTTTTATTTACTACAAGACAAATGTGCAGTTTTATTTCATACAGTTCCATTTTGATTGAGAGAGGGAAATAATCTAAACCTCACGCGTGGCGTTTCACTGTCAAGGGGGGCGATATAGCGTGTACGTAATTACATTGCAAATACTGACTTGACCATGTATGGGTTAGCCCTACCAGAGATTACCCAACAAAAATGCTCTGGTGCCGCCACTGAGTGTCTCTACTGGGACATATCTCCAGGTTTTAATGTTCAAAAAGCCCTTTATTTTTCTCAAACTGCCTGTGCTGCAGCACCTCTTTTCACCTTCTGTCTGAAACCAGAGGCCAGCCTGCTCTGATTGGACAACTGCTTAGAGATGTCCCGCCCCTTAGCCTTTCACATACAATGAGTTGGAGCGCTAGCCAAGTGTTACATGTTGATGTCATTATGTTCAGGAAGTAAACAAAGGAGTCCAATGTGGGTGTTTCAAGCAAGGGAGGGGGGAGTGTGTGGGAGAGAAACCCCCTCTGGAGGGAACACAGGGATTTTAGCCTTTGCAAACCATTTACATGCACCAAAACCGATCACACTACAGGAAAGGGAAAACCCGAAGGACAATATGAGAAAAATAAAGCACTTTTCATATTTTGATATGTATTCTTTTTATTTTTTATTAGTCAATTTATTGAACATGTCAGAAACATTTTTTTTTTTTATAATAATATTTATAACAAAGAGATGCGGGGAAAAAAATGTTCAAGATACAATTTTTTTTAAATAAATACATTCTCAAATAGTCTCTGTCATGTTCAACAGGGGCAAGAAGAAGCTTCAAAAAACTTTTCTGGTCCTCCCCCCTCTAGCGTACAAAGATGAGGTCATCGTCATCATGTTCGTCATGTTGTAAACAAATACCTTTTTTTGTACAAAACAACCAAAAATGTGTCGTCTTTAAAATAATATCAAATGGTAACAGATATGTGTATATTGCATTGGAGAAGTATATATTTCAGTGTGATTTCATCAGCTTCCTGTGTGTTTTTGACCGTGAGGGACGCTCCACATGAAAATGCCCCCTTGCACGGTCATTGTAGGTCAGACACACACACACACACACACACACACACACACACACACACACACACACACACACACACACACACACACACACACACACACACACAAGGACACACTCCCTGGTAGTGGCAGGTGTGAATCTTCCTCACAGACTGCC